TATTCTTTAAAAAATCCACGTTTCTTGGTCTGTTGGTGGTTTAAAAAAATATTCTTTAAAAAATCCACATTTCTTGGTCTGTTGGTGGTTGAAAAAATATTCTTTGAAAAATCCACATTTCTTGGTCTGTTGGTCGTTGGAAAAATATTCTTAAAAAAATCCACGTTTCTTCAACTGATGGTCGTTGAAAAAATATTCTTTAAAAAATCCACGTTTCTTGATCTGTTGGTGGTTGAAAAAATATTCTTTAAAAAATCCACGTTTCTTCAACTGATGGTCGTTGGAAAAATATTCTTTAAAAAATCCACGTTTCTTGGTCTGTTGGTGGTTTAAAAAAAATATTCTTTAAAAAATCCACATTTCTTGGTCTGTTGGTCGTTGGAAAAATATTCTTTAAAAAATCCACGTTTCTTCAACTGATGGTCGTTGAAAAAATATTCTTTAAAAAATCCACGTTTCTTGATCTGTTGGTGGTTGAAAAAATATTCTTTAAAAAATCCACGTTTCTTGGTCTTTTGGTCGTTGAAAAAAATATTCTTTAAAAAATCCACGTTTCTTCAACTGATGGTCGTTGAAAAAATATTCTTTAAAAAATCCACGTTTCTTGGTCTGTTGGTGGTTTAAAAAAAATATTCTTTAAAAAATCCACATTTCTTGGTCTGTTGGTGGTTGAAAAAATATTCTTTAAAAAATCCACATTTCTTGGTCTGTTGGTCGTTGGAAAAATATTCTTTAAAAAATCCACGTTTCTTGGTCTGTTGGTGGTTTAAAAAAAATATTCTTTAAAAAATCCACATTTCTTGGTCTGTTGGTGGTTGAAAAAATATTCTTTAAAAAATCCACATTTCTTGGTCTGTTGGTCGTTGGAAAAATATTCTTTAAAAAATCCACGTTTCTTGGTCTGTTGGTGGTTTAAAAAAAATATTCTTTAAAAAATCCACATTTCTTGGTCTGTTGGTGGTTGAAAAAATATTCTTTAAAAAATCCACATTTCTTGGTCTGTTGGTCGTTGGAAAAATATTCTTTAAAAAATCCACGTTTCTTGGTCTGTTGGTGGTTTAAAAAAAATATTCTTTAAAAAATCCACATTTCTTGGTCTGTTGGTGGTTGAAAAAATATTCTTTAAAAAATCCACATTTCTTGGTCTGTTGGTCGTTGGAAAAATATTCTTTAAAAAATCCACGTTTCTTCAACTGATGGTCGTTGGAAAAATATTCTTTAAAAAATCCACGTTTCTTGGTCTGTTGGTGGTTTAAAAAAAATATTCTTTAAAAAATCCACATTTCTTGGTCTGTTGGTCGTTGGAAAAATATTCTTTAAAAAATCCACGTTTCTTCAACTGATGGGCGTTGAAAAAATATTCTTTAAAAAATCCACGTTTCTTGGTCTGTTGGTGGTTTAAAAAAAATATTCTTTAAAAAATCCACATTTCTTGGTCTGTTGGTCGTTGGAAAAATATTCTTTAAAAAATCCACGTTTCTTCAACTGATGGTCGTTGAAAAAATATTCTTTAAAAAATCCACGTTTCTTGATCTGTTGGTGGTTGAAAAAATATTCTTTAAAAAATCCACGTTTCTTCAACTGATGGTCGTTGGAAAAATATTCTTTAAAAAATCCACGTTTCTTGGTCTGTTGGTGGTTTAAAAAAAATATTCTTTAAAAAATCCACATTTCTTGGTCTGTTGGTCGTTGGAAAAATATTCTTTAAAAAATCCACGTTTCTTCAACTGATGGTCGTTGAAAAAATATTCTTTAAAAAATCCACATTTCTTGGTCTGTTGGTGGTTGAAAAAATATTCTTTAAAAAATCCACGTTTCTTGGTCTTTTGGTCGTTGAAAAAAATATTCTTTAAAAAATCCACGTTTCTTCAACACTCGAAATAAAGCCATTATGTCTCGCTTATATATTCATATGTATATGTATGTGTTATTATCTTTGTATTTACGTAGCTATACGTGTCAAGCGGATATAATAACACATCTTGGCATTATTGCCAAATATTTACGATTTATCAAAGCCACTGTCATCTTGAAAAACCCCCAGCAATCCTTACCCCTTCCACAAATTTCATTGCTGGAATCATCGTCCACTGCCACATCCCCGCCATTCCTTTTACTCCCCAAAACGAAAATAATTCAAAACGAATTGAGAATATTTCAAATTATGTAAATATTCTCTCATGCTTATAATTTATTCACACACACACTCACTCACAGTGACATTATTTGCATATGTCACTTGGATATGGTGCTCCATCGTCGATGTCTTCGTCTTATATTTGGAACTTGTCTTCAAGTTGGTTGCCGGGGTGAAAAAAAGGGGGGAAATACATTTTCCATAATAAATAAATTCCATGGCTACATATATTTACATGACTCCATAGCCACAGATATGCAAAGTCACGAGAGCTTCGAAAATATTTTTTTTGATGTGGTTTGGAATTTTTTTTTGAGTGTTTTTCTTTTAAAGCATTGGGGAAGGGGGGTATGTGACACTTACAGTGCCACTGTTTGGAAGGTTCTTAGAAAAAGTAGCAAAAGAGTAACGGAATAAAAAAAATCAATAGAAACCACAAGGAATTTCCAATTTTGGAGACAAAGAGAATCATGGTTAAATAATTGTGGGATAAGGAAAAAGAAAGTGATGGGGTGGGGGGGGGGTGTCCTTTGTAATTCAAGGTGGTTTCTGGAAGGTTAGGGGAATTTTTATACCCTCAGCCATATGGCTTGAGAGAGTGGACATCATTTGATACGGCCAAAACCTGCCTCAACGAGATAACAGTTTTATACCCAAAGTCTCTTTGGGTCAAATCCGTTTCAGGACATTTGGAGTCGATCTAGCGATTTCCGTCCATCCATTCGTCTGTCTGTCTCGCTGGATACTTTCGAAGGTATCCGATTTCTTCCAAACTTGGTACATTGTAATATTATTGTCAAAATTATATCGAGTTCGGTGATGACCAATATCGGTCCACTCCTTCTGGTACCCACAAAAGATCGAAATTATCAAAAAAAAAAAAAAAAAAAATATTTTACTGCACAGAAAAAGAACCGATAATCCGATTTTGCTCCAACATTGAAAATCCTAATATTCTCATCAGAACTAATTTAGGTGTGAAAATGGACAATATCGGCCCACTCCCACAAGTACCTCTCCCACAAAGGGTCAAAATTTGGAATAATTATAACTCTTATAAAATGTGATGTAAAAGTCCGACTGTCTTAAAATATCACACATCCCAAAAATTTTATTAACCGAAGGTCTGGTGTCAAGATGGACGATATCGGTCCACTCCTTTTGGTACCTCCTGCACAAATGGACCAAATTTTAAATATTCACGAAGCTCATAAAACACGAAATTACCACCCGATTCCATTCAAACTTGACACAACTCAATATTTCCATCAGCACAAGATCTGTTATAAAGTTAGTAGAGATCGGACCTTCCTTCTACCTCCCTCACATAGGGTTCAAGATTTTGGAAAAACCAAAATCGAAATAATTAGCCACTTCCAATTTATTTTGGTAATCTTGGCGAAATTATTCAGCGGAATTGTTTCAAACATGGTATTTGAAGTTTGTAATGGATACTACAGCCTAGGACAGAAAATTTTCGTATTCAGGTCCACGTCTTCGTATAGCCCCCATATATCGGTATCCTCCGATATTCGGTATTTTAAGCGACATTATTCACCGGAATGGTTTCAAACATGTTATTTGAAGTTCGTAATGGATAATTCAGCCTATGACAGAAAATTGTCTGTGCAGGTCCAAGTCTTCGTATAGCCCTCATATAACGGTACCTCCCGATTTTCGGAATTTCGGTGATTTTAAGCGACATTATTCACCGGAATTGTTTAAAACTCGGTAGTTGAAATTCGTACTGGAAAGTACAGCCTGAGACAGAAAATTGTCTGTGTAGCTCCACGTCTTCGTATAGCCCCCATATAACGGTACTTCCCGATATTCGGTATTTTGCTGATTTTAGCGACATTTTTCACCGGAAATGTTCCAAATTCGGTATTTGATATTAGTAATGGATGCTACAGCCTATGACAGGAGATTGTCTGTGCAGGTCCACGTCTTCGTATAGCCCCCATATAACGGTACCTCCCGATATTCGGTATTTTGATTATTTTTGCAACATCATTCACCGGAATTATTTCAAATTTGGTATTTGAAGTTCGTAAGGGATATTACAGCCTATAACAGAAAATTGTCTGTCCAGCTCCACGTATTCGTATAGCCCCCATATAACTGTGTCTCCCGATATTCGGTATTTTGATGATTTTAGCGACGTTATTCGCCGGAATTGTTTCAAATTTAGTATTTGATGTTCCTAATGGATACTACAGCCTATAACAGAAAATTGTCTGTGCAGGTCCAAGTCTTCGTATAGCCCTCATATAAGGGTACCTCCCGATATTCGGTATTTGGATGATTTTAGCGACATTATTCACCGGAATTGTTTCAAATTTGGTATTTGAAGTTCGCAATGTATGCTACAGCCTATGAGAGGAGATTGACTGTGCAGGTCCACGTCTTCGTATAGCCCCCATATATCGGTACCTCCCGATATTCGGGATGATTTTAGCAACATTATTTACCGGAATTGTTTCAAATTTGGTATTTGATGTTCGTAATGGATGCTAAAACCTGTGACAGAAAATTGTCTGTGCAGGTCCACGTCTTCGTACAGCCCCCATATATCGGTATCCTCCGATATTCGGAATTTTGGTCATTAAAGCGACATTTTTCACCGGAAATGTTCCAAATTTGATATGTGAAGTTCGAAAGGGATTTTACAGCCTATAACAGAAAATTGTATGTGCAGGTCAACGTCTTTGTATAGCCCCCATATATCGGTATCCTCCGATATTCGGTATTTTCACGATTTTAGTGACATTATGCACCGGAATTGTTTCAAATTTGGCATTTGAAGTTCTTAAGGGTACCCCCCGATATTTTTAATAATTTTGTTTTTTTTTAGGACCTCCTCTGCATTAAAAATCGGTCTTAGTTATTTTATTTTTTTTTTTTTTTTCGAACACCCTAAAAAAATTGCTTCAATCTCATGCCGTCGAGAATTCCACCTCCGGTTTGAGGGCCGACACGATAGCCACAAGGATACCCTGGATAATTCGCTCACGCCACTCCAGTTGAACGGTGAGACGACAATTAACCTCTCCAGCCTTGGTTTCACGTTCGAATTCCTCTTCGTACAAATCTTGAATGTCATCGAAGGCATCGATTTTTTCTTCATCTGTTGTTTTCGCCTGCAGCGCATCGTACCATTTGATAATATCTTCGTTATCCTTCCTACCGGCTGCATCAAGGCTGGCAATGAAATCTCCAACATTTTTTTCAATTACCGGTAGTTCATTTTTTAGGAAATCTTTTTTAACTGCCTCCTCATCGACATCCTTTAAATTCTTTTGATACAACGACCAAATTTGATTGACCTCCTTGTGACGGAGATCGTAGCGTATATTTTCAATGGTGAAAAACAACGAATGTACCCGACTTTGAAGGGTGCAATTTGTGGGAGCCTTTTTGAAACTATCTGCTGTTGTAATGTATTCCTGGAGGTTCGTCTTCAGGTCTTCGTATAGTTGCAGTTTATTTGCCGGAATTTTTTGCTGATTTTGTTCAAACCACACAGTGTAATCCTTGAGGACGTCGGGATAGATTGAGGTCTTCGCCAAGATTTCATTGGACACAATTGCATTGACTTTCAGGAGAATTAAATCGAACAGTTCATAACGTTTCTGATAGGTCAAAGATTTGGCAGGTGCTGCAGTTGTCGTCTCGGCGCTGGATAATTTTCGGGGAGCTGCCCAGGAAAGCTGCCAAAAAAAAAAAATGGATAATTTTAAAGAAGTTCCAATAATTATGTTTGAAACTTACCTGCAGGGCCAATAGGACCATAAAAATGTGAAAGAAAATTTTCATTTCGCAATGCAGCCAAGTGTTTCTGGTCCGATTTCTTAAAGCTGACTATTTAAATTATTTTGTTTGAAGTCGCATTTAAACATTTTTTCATATTCATTTTCTTATCGCCCTGAGATTGGGGTCATAACCCCGTGGCTTTGTTTTTGTTTCCACTATTGACAAGTTCATGATAAGCTTCTGAATTTAAGAGAGAATTCTGAAGAAATAGATGCTCATACGCTGCGGGAAGGTGTTGTTTTTTAATAAAAAATAAATGAAAACAAATAAAGAAGCTGTAAGTTCGGCCGGGCCGAACTTTAAATACCCTCCACCATTTGGAACGATTTGGAAAATTTAAAAAAAAAAAAAAAAATCCTTCAAAAATTCTGTTAAAATCTTAAAAATACCAAATGTAGCCCTTATATTAGGGTCTATACGACGAACCATTGCAACATTCAAATTCGAAACCTGAATAAAAAAAATTCGGTGAATAAAGTATCTAAAACTATCAAAATACCGAAAATCGGGAGCTACCTTTATATGGGGGCTATACCAAATCGTAGACCTGCAAAAACGATTTTCTGTCCTAGGCTGTAGTATCCACAACGAACTTCAAGTACCAAAATTGAAACAATTCCGGTTAATAATGTCGTTAAAATCATCAAAATACCGAATATCGGGAGGTATCATTATATGGGGGCTACATGAAGATGTGGACCTGCACGGACAATTTTCTGTCGTAGCCTGCAGTATCCCTTTCGAACCTCAAATACCAAAATAGAAATAATTCCGATAAATAGTGACGCCAAAATCATCAAAATACCGAATATCGGAAGGTACAATTATATGGGGGCTATACGAAGATGTGGACCTGCACAGACAATTTTTTGTCCTAGGCTGTAGTATCCATTACGAACTTCAAATACCAAATTTGAAGCAATTCCGGTGAATAGTGTCGCTAAAATCATCAAAATACCGAATATCGGGAACTACTTTTATATGGGGGCTATACGACGACGTGGACCTGCAAAGATAATTTTCTGTCTTATGCTGCAGTATTGATTACGAACTTCAAATACCAAATTTGAAGCAATTCTGGTGAATAATGTCGCTAAAATCATTAAAATACCGAATGTAGGGAGGTAATATTATATGGCGGCTATACGAAGACGTAGACCTGCACTGACAATTTTCTATCCTAGGCTGTAGAATCCATTACGAACATCAAATACCAAATTTGAAACAATTTCGGTGCATAATGTCGCTGAAATCATTAAAATAACGAACATCGGAAGGTATCATTAAATGGGGGCTACATGAAGACGTGGACCTGCACAGACAAGTTTCCGTCTCAGGCTGTAGTATCTATTACGAACTTCAAATACCAAATTTGTAGCAATTCCGGTGAATAGTGTCGCTTAAGTCATCAAAATACCGAATATCGGGAGCTACCGTTGTATGGGGGCTATACGAAGACGTGGGCCTGCACAAACAATTTTCTGTCCTAGACTGTAGTACACATAACGAACTTCAAATACCAAATTTGAAACAATTTCGATAAAAAATGTAGCTAAAATCATCAAAATACCGAATATCGGGAGGTATCGTCATATGGGGGCTATAGGAAGATGTGGACCTGCACAGACAATTTTCTATCATAATCTGTAGTATCCATTACGAACTTCAAATACCAAATACAAAATACCGGATATAGGGAGGTATCGTTATATGGGGGCTATACGAGGATGTGGGCCTGCACAGACAATTTTCTGTCTTAGGCTGTAGCGTCTATTACGAACTTCAAATGCAAAATTTGAAACAATTCCGGTGAATAGTGACGCCAAAATTATCAAAATACCGAATATCAGGAGGTACCATTATATGGCGGCTATACGAAGACGTTGACCTGCACAGACAATTTTCTGTTTTAGGCTGTAGTATTCATTACGAACTTAAAATACCAAATTTGAAACAATTCAGGTGAATATTGTCGATAAAATCATTAAAATACCGAATATCGGGAGGTACGGTTATATGGGGGCTATACGAAGATGTGGACTTACGTGGCCCATTTTCAATACGAAAAGTCTTGCAGACATAATATACATTTTCGTAAAATTTTATCAACCTACTTCATTTCGTTCGGAAGCTAGAGTGATTTCCACAGACGTATAGCGGGACGTACATCGCCAAATTTGTGGGGTCTAAAATGTATATTTCGAGATGTTACAAAAGGAGAGAAAAACTCAGTACATACCCTCCATACTATGGTGGAGAGTACGGTATGCCATAAAGGCATTACGGCCATGGAGGAATGTTGCATGTCATTGTTGAAAAATTACAGCAAAACAAAATCTTCCTCGCGGTCATAATGTCTGGCCATGACAACCGCCCGGTTGTTGTTATTTAACATTTTAGGAATTCAGTTGGGCGTGTTGGGCTCTTCATCCCTCCCTCGATGTTGGCCTCAATCAACAGAAAATATTGATGACAATCATATGCTGTCGTTCGGTTGGTCATAACTTAAACACCAAAATGACACAATGAATTGAGGATTGATGAGATTCGCTTTAGGCAATTTGTGGCTAAATAATAAAATCCAGGAATGTTTTATGGTCCTATGGCCTCTTTGAAGTAGTCTCCTTGAAGGAATAGCTCCTTGAAGGTATGGCTGTACCTTTTGGGACAGCTGATAATATTTACTACAGCATCGAAACAAAATGGAAATTTCCCAAAAAAAATTTTTGGCCCAAAATTCTTTCGAAAATCCGCGTCTTGTAGATGCTATTGGTGTCCTCCTAAATTGATTTGGATAGTCGGAATTTATCCTCATCCAACATTTTTTTAAAATACATGTTATGTACACGTCATTGAATTTCCATTTATTTTTTTTTTTTTAAATCCATTTTTTGTGGTCTCTGTTGATCTCTCCGAGAAAATGATTGTCGTTTTGTGAATGTTCCTGACCCGTCGAAAATTTAAAAAAATCCACAGGTACCATAGGGTGAGGTACCAGAAAGGGGTTCACAGATATATATATATATATATATATATATATATATATATATATATATATATATATATCATCTTCACAACAGATCTTGTGCTAGCAAAAATGTTGTTATGTGTGAAATTTGAAGAGAATCGGATGCTTCCTTCGCCTTCTTTGAGCATTTGGTTTTTAAAAAAATCTTGTTACTTTTTGTGGGGGAGGTACCAGAAGAAATGGACCGATATGTACCATCTTTATAACAGATCTTGTATTGATGAAAATATTGAAATGTGCCAAGTCGGAATGAGAGTGGAGGTTAATTCCGCGTTTTATGAGATTTATTGATATTCAAAATTTTGACCCTTTGTGGGGGAGGTATTAGCAGAATATATCCCAATTTCACATCGGACTTTGGGTTAATAAAAATATTGTGATGTGTGCTATTTGATGAGAACTGGATACTTATTTCGGATTTTATTATCGTTTTGGTTATTCAACACTTCGATCCTTTGGGGAGGAGGTACCTGCAGGAATAATTCGGACTCTACCCTCTTTATAACATATCTTGTGTTTGTGGAAATTGTAAATGGAATCGGATGTTTAATATCGCGTTTTATGAGATTTATGGATATTCAAAATTTTGACCCTGTGTGGGGTAGGTACCAGAAGGGATGGTCCGATCTCTACCATATTTATATCAGATCTTGTCTTGATGGAAATATTGAGATGTACTCAGTCTGAATGAAATCGGATATTTAATTTGACAATTTATGAGTTTCATGGATATTCAAAATGTTGACCCTTTGTGGGGGAGGTAACAGAAGAAGTGGACCGATACATTCCATCTTCACAGCAGATCTTGTGTTAGTAGAAATAAGGGGATGTGTGAAATATAAAGAGAACCGGATACTTATTTCTGATTTTATAATCGTTTTGGTTATTCAAAATGTTGACCCCTTGTGGGGGGATCTACCAGAAGGGATGGTCTGATCTCTACCACCTTTATAACAGACCTTGTGTTGATAAAGATATTGAGATATCCCAATCCTGAATGAAGTCGGATGTTTAATTTGGAGTTTTATGAGTTTCATGGATATTCAAAATTTTGACTTCTTTTTTGGAAGAGGTACCAGAAGGAGGGGACCGATGTGTCCCATCTTCACTTCAGATCTTTCGTAATTGGAAATATTGGCATGTGTGAAATTTTAAAAAATTCGGTAGCTTATTTCATATTCCATAAGATATATAATTATTCAAAATTTGTAGACGTTGAGTGGGTGGTACTAGAAGGGGTGGTCCGATACATCTAATCTTCATACCAGATATTGTGTTGGTAAAATTATTGTGCTGTGCGAAAGTTGAAACAACGGAATCCTTATTTCAGATTTTGTAGAAGTTATAATTATGAAATATTTTGACCTTCGTGGGGGAGGTACTTGATGACCGATATATTCCATCATCACCCGAGACCTTGAGCTAATAAAAAATATTGTGGTATGTGTATTTTTAAGGCCATCGGAATCTTACATCACATTTTATTGGAGTTATGATTATTCAAATTTTTGACCCTTGGTGGGTGAGGTACCTGATGGAGTGAATCGATATTGTCCATTTTCACACCTGACCTAGCACTGATGCCAATATTTTTTCAAATATTTAGAATATATTTTTTTTAATTTTTGACCTTTTGCGGGGGAGGCTCCATATGGGGTGGACCAATATTGCCCATCTCCGAACTCAATCGAAATTTGATAATAATCTTCCGATGTACCAAATTTGGACGAAATCGGATATTCCCGACGGACGCTAGGTCGACTCCAAATGTCCTGAAACGGATTTGGTCCAAAGAGACCTAGCGTCTGAAGCAGTAATATCGATGAGGTACGTTTTGGCTGAGGGTATAAAAACAGCATTTTGTGCAAATTTTCCGATCTCTAATTTGTGCATGCTTTTGGTTTGTAAATCATCGAAATAATAATTTTAGACCCAACAAAGTATATATATTCTTGATCAGCGTAAAATTCTAAGACGATTTAGGCAGGTCAAGTTCGAAGATGGACTATATCGGTCCACGATA